AACACAGAGAGTGCCTCCAGCTGAGTAAGAACATGCATTTCCCCAGGGACAAATAGCAGTGGCACATAGCTATGCCATTGCTACTTGTCCCCAGGAAACACCCCTGCACGCACTCTGGTGCATGGCAAATTGCCCTGGGTGGGGTAAGGGAGACTGGGGCCAGCACCTGGGCTGGCCCCAGCAGCCTTACCTGGGGCCCTGGGGGCCTCCCAGGGCTGCAGTGGCAGCAATCTGGGCATGTGGAGCCTGATCAGCAGTCAGAGTGAGGCTCTGGTTGGCCAGGCTCGTTTTGGGTGGCACATGCTGCAGCCATGTGCGTTGCCCCACTTTTTAGGGCGGCATTTTTTTTAGATACTGAGATTCCCTGGTATCTAATTCAGGATCCACATTGTAAATATGAAGTGTGGAGAACATTTTCATATGAGCCGTATGCATTTTGCAGCATGTCAGAGGCTTTGAGGAACTGCAAAGTGCACACTCCTGCTCACCTGTATGCACCCAGAAGAGCCAGGAGAAGGACCTTTTTCAGTTCTTGATGGTGCCTTTCTCTTTCCTGCTGTCTTTCTGAGGAACACTTCTTTACTGAAGTTTGTTATCTGGTCCTTTCTGGCTCTAGAGTGGTGGGGGAGCATTGCAGATACTCCTGTGAATGCTTTGAACAAATGCTTCACAGCTGACAGATGCCTGGGTGGTCCACTGTGCATCTATGTTCCCCTATTTCTTACTTTCTTAACCTTTTCTCCACCTTCCCTTTATTCCTAGCATTCTCTGCTCCTCTCTCTTCCACTACAAAGCCAATTGGTTTTAAATAAACTAAAGGAATCTTAGATAGTTTTTGTTCCATTTCTCTTTGGTGCAATATACTGCATACAGCAATGGCTCAGAATCACTGATAGGTTGCTGCACTGGTGCAACAGACCCAGCTTAGATTTGTTGCAGCTAGATTACCTTTGAACAGTGAGAGAAAAGCCAGCCAAGTACTTAACAACCAGGGGCAGGATTTCTTCAGCGGATTTAGTGCCAGCAACACTCTCTTGCTCTTTATAGCCAGGTCAAGACGAGCACGGCTATGCAGCGTACGGTGTTACAGATGGGTCTGCGATGGCACTCACCATACATTCAGGTGTTCTCTGTGGTTCCAGGTAGCAGTGTGGGGTTTTTTTTTTAACTCCAGGAGATCTGGGGCTCAAAAAAACCCACACGGAAAAAAAAAAGTGAGGCAGCACATGTGGCGGCAGCGTGCGCCACCCAAAACTGGAGCCTGCCCAGTCAGTGCCACACTGCAGCTCCCTGAGCTCTCAGGACCCCAGGTAAGGCTGCTGAAGCCAGCACAGTTGCTGGCCCCAGCCTCCCCTACCCCACTGTGGGGTAACTTGCCACACACCAGGGGACACATTGCACAGGTGTTCCCCAGGGACAAGGTGTGCTGCTGCTTCTTGTCCCTGGGGAAACAAACATCCACGCTCATGTGGATGCAGTCTGTGTTTCCACTGCAGAATCTCTTCAGGGGGAAAAGCACCTTACGCAGGCAGGGATACCACCAGGAAAATTATTGCACCTTCCCTTTACTGACAGGAGGAAAAATCCTCAATTTACTGAAATGTGAATTCTAGTTCCACTCACGCAGCAAGTCATCAACTTTCTTATGAAAGGATGCTTAGTTGGAGGCTGGTGACAGTAAGGACTACAGAGTAGCCAGCCATGGTGATGATGAGTACAGGAAAATGCCTAGACAGACAGAAGATAGTTTAACAAAGTGAAGAGCAGTACTGAAAATTTTCATCAAAAAGCAGGAATTCACTTCTAGACCATACCCCAGCCCATTTTAGCCACCACATTATTCAGTTTGTAGGCAATACCTGTCTTAGTGCTTGGATAGACTGCCAAGGATGTAATAAATGAAAAGAAAGCACAATATACTTTTAAAAGGAAGAAAAAACAGAAATCTACAAAGATCAAATTCCACTGCTTTATAAATCATGCCCATGGAAATGCCCCCACCTCTAGCTTTGCTTACAAGCCAGAAATCATTGTAGATAATAAGGCTTATTTAAACAGAATAAGGAACTGGGTCCACATGGATGAGATAATTTCTAATACATTACTAGTAAAAACTCTCCCCCTTTTCTCTGTAATTGTTTTATTTTTACAGACTGATCCATCATGGGTGAAGTTATTGGAAGGTAAACACACATATTTTTTAGCTATAAATGTAGTCAGGACAGTGCTGTTTAGCATATTCCTGAATATAGACATGCATAAACCGTCATATCAAAATGTAATAGCAAAGTAAGCCACTCTGGCATTTCAGTGCTCCCAACAGTGTTTCAAACAGTGACTCTGTTAACAGGGAAAATTTTCAAATATAGACTACACTTCTATCAACTGATTCATCACATATTTTTCATTATTTTTGTTTACTAGTTACTAATAACCAAAGTAATTATATTTAGAGAGAAAGAATAGGTCACAGCAAGACCTATCATATTTGATCTTGCAGTAAAGTCATAGGCTATGTCCACACGAGCATGGACATTTGGTTCCCCAGGGACAAGTAGCGACAGGCCACCTTATGCCACTGCTAATTGTCCCCAGGGAATGCCTGTGCCATGTGCCCTCTGGCATGCAGTAAGTTACCCCAAGTGAGGTAGGGGAAGCTGAGGCTAGCAACTGTACTGGCCCCAGCAGCCTCACCTGGGGTCCTGGAGACCTCCTGGGGCTGAAGCAGAGATCCTGCAGCTTGAGACTGATGGGCCAGGCTCCAGTTTTGGGCAGTGCACACTGCCTGTGTGTGTGCTACTCCACTTTTTTTCTGCTCGGGTTTTTTTGACCCCTGGTCAAAAAACCCTCTCACATTGCAAGGTAGCAGCATGGGGAATCCCTAAATGTGCAATGTGTGACACCGCAGATGGGTCTGTGGTGCCCATACTGCATGACTGTGCTCGTCTGGACATAGCCATAGAGTCAAAATGTCACACCAGGACAGAATCTGTTGCACATTACTCATGTTTGCAAGATCACAACCATGATGTGTTTTCAGGGTAACATAAGATGATATCATGAATTCAGATACATTGCATCACTGCAGAATAAATCAGAAGCAGCAGCTGTAATTTAATGGAGGAAGCCCTGTTACATAGGTATCTCCAAGAATGGAGAGAGGGAACACAAAGTGATGCTGGCCACATACCATCATTTTGTAGAAATGTTTTCTTTTCTAAGGTTTGATTTGCTGTGAAAGCCCCTCTTCTAAAATGCATTAAGTTCTGCTCCTGAACTGGATGAAAATGGGTAATGACCATGCTAAACTTCCTTCCACTTTAAATTATTTTACTGGCATAGAAAATATTCTCTATAGTTAAAATAAGGGGATACTGCTGCACTGGTGATATCTCTAAAAATGAAATTAACTTTAAGTGTGACCACTGTTAGAAGATAGAAAAATGATTCATTTCCTATAATTGAGTTTAGTTTTCACTGAAGATAACTTTAATGGCTTGTTGTTTGATTGAAGTTATAAATAGCATTTTTTTCAGATATTTCTTATTATATCAATGACTTCCAGATTGAGGTCTGAGAACCACTGGCAGTCAGCAGGACAACTGCCTGTGGGCCTCAAGGCAGACTGATTACAAGGTGTTAGCTCTTCTTATTTTCAGCTTCTCCAGGCTCTTCATGGCAAACAAAACCTACAAAAGCAACTTAAAACAGAGAAGGAAAGTCATCTAGCCATCTCTGATACTGCTGCATAACAATAAGAGAGAAAACAAGAGCTGTCCTCAAAGACTGGTGCTACCAATCAAATATGAGTCGCCAAATTAATGTGACCTCATATGGCATTTAAAAAAATTGATATGCTCTTAAGTGGCTCCATGGTAAATAGACAAGGATGGAATTCAGCACCAGACATTTTTGTACTGCATTGTATCATATTAATTCTATATTTTGGGGACTTCTAAGGGTCACTTGCAGGTACCAGCAAAAAGTTCCCCACATCATCATGCTTAAATGCATTATTTGGTTCTCTTCCACAAATATATCCTCTTTCCCATAGATAAGACACCGGCTACAGCTTGAGATGAGAGATTGGATTAGATATGCTGGCACTCTTATTGAGGAACCTCAATGGGGTGTAGCTGATGTGTCTTGCTCTTGATTTGGGGTCAGGAAGGAACTTTCCCAGAGGTCAGAGTGGCAGACTGCTGGGGCGGGATACGGCCCACTTCTTGAGATTATATGGGCATATTTTGTTCTGTTCTCTTGCTGTGCAGTGGTTATTTGAGTCTGTGATCTTTTGTACTAAAACTAGTAAGTCTGTAATGCCACATTAGGGCATGCTGCAGAATGTGTGCTTATAGCACCTTTTAACTGAATAGCTAATAATATTGTTGCCTGAGAGAAGCAGCATCTGAATTAGTTGGTCTATAAGGTGTCACTCTGCTCTGCCTTCTACATAATTGCCTGTAATAAGTATGGGACTAAACTTAATGACCTAATTGATCCCTTCCTTTCTCATGTTCCTATATTAGGCATAAGGAGACCCAGGAACTGAATGGCATTGGTGCAGCAGCCTGAAAGGTCACTCAATCTGTGGAGTTCCACACTTAAAATGCTATCACTTTCCCCACTACCTTGTATAAGTGGAATCGGTGTCTCTCAGGAGCCAGGTAGCCTCAGGAAACAATTTGGACTGAAATGACAAGGAAAAGAAATCTCCAACACAACACACGTTTCTGTAACATTCAGCTATCATCTTTTTAGCTTTTGCAGGCAATTTCCCTTTTAGAACATTTTAGCTCAGCTTGCGTAGGTCTTCAGAGGCTGCACTGACAAGCAAAAAGTCTAATTACCATGTTTAGTTTGCTCTTTTTAGCATGCTCGGCAAGTCTTGTCATCATTTCACTGTGAAAAGAAGCTTTTTTTTTTTTTTTTGCTTTTCTTTCTTTTTTTTTTTTTAAAAGAGATTTCTTCACTACTAGTCTTGTTAGGGTAATACTGCTCCAGAGACTCCTTTGATTGTTTAGTTATGTTAAAATTACCATTAGTGCTGTTTTCCTTTTGAAGGTTCTTCCTGTGGGTTTACTTTTATACTGTTGGGTGAAGGGCTTTTCTGTTTGTTTATCATCACATGCAAAAACAATACAGAAATAAAATACTTTGTCTCTCTGTCTTGTCTTTCTTTCTGCTGTATCAAAAAATTTCAATAAAATCTGTTAAGTAATAATCTTATAAAGACATGAAAGCAAAATACAGCAAGTTGACAAACAACTGGGGATTGAATACATAAACAATCTTCTTTTTCAGTGAAGAAAAATCTGTTTCTAGTTATTTTTGTTACCTGAAGATTGTGTGTTTGTTGACAATTTTTTTGCTTAAGAAAACAAAACTCCTGCATCACAGAGAAGTGTGAAAAAAAGAAATGGTAGTTTAGATTTCACATGCTATATCATGTGCTCTTGTTCTTAATCTGATTTGAGTGATCAGTACCACTCACCCTTACAAAGAAAAAACTTGGACAGATACAGCAGCTGGTATATAGAGTTAAGAAAAATAAAAGGTTTTAAAAAATATATATATTACAAATGCAGAGGGAAAATGTTATCTTTATGTTGTACATCAATGGACAGTGCAATGACAACACACAATAATACTTGAAAATTGACATTTTATCTGTCTGTAGAGAGAACATGAATAAAATAATGCATCTCAGACCAAATGAAAGAGAGGAAGGCAAGGGAAAAAAAAGAAACTTTTAAAAAGGATGACCTGGAAAAGGTGGGAAATAATAAGTATCAAAGTACGCTTTAAATTCTGCTCTGTAAAAAGTAAAAGACCAAGGGCCAGATCACACCATCAGGCATAAATTGGTCCTTTGCAGCAGGAAAAAACTACTGCAATGAAGCACACATCTTTACAATGTCACAATGTCTCTTATTTTATGGGTCCTCCGGATCTACCTACTTTCACTCACCTGACTAGGCTGCCTTTTTCTCTGCATCTGTTTTATGTTTTGCTTCCAAGCACTCACTTTTGACTGACGTACAGCAATGCTTTATTCTCATTACTGCCTTCTTTTTTCATGTTTCTTGGTTTTTCTATCTCAAGCCAATTCAGTTTTGCCTTTCACCCAGTATTATTACAATGACAGCATTTGACCCAAGGATCGGGGTAGATACGGTAATAGTGACATTACCCTTGGCACTGGGGACAGCAATAATAAATCTCTCAAAGAAGTGCTTTAGGTTTAAAAGATCCTTGTCTATTATACTGAAAAAAATAATAATACTAGATTACCTGGCACTTCTGGGTCTTTGTGGTAAGGGATTTAATCCAACTGGAGGCACTGAAGCCCAGGCCCAAAGTTATCAGACTAATAGCTACTATTTTTCTTCAACAAAACCTTCATTCAAAACCTTGGAGAGAAGAAGAAATAATATAGTTTTAACCATGTGGGGTCCTACACCTGCATCTGTTTGCTTTCATAAGCCTGTCCCACCATCATACTGTCTCTCATCCCCTCCAAATCTGCGTCTGCACTTTGAGAAAAGGTCTGCTGCAATCCAACAATAAGAGGATTCCCCACCTGAAAATCAGAGTCAATACAGCAACTGACTACTATAATTTAAACAAGCTATAACTAATTACTATGTTTAGAAGCTTCAAGCACTGCGCCCATCATTAGTACAGTTCCCTTCACCCCTTACTTCTTTTAATATTTCATCCTATCAACTGTTAGGCCATAGCTTTTTTTTTTGTGCTCATATAGGTCCTTTTACATGTCCTTTTAAATGAAAGCTGGATAGAAACCTGCTATAGAGTTGTTCCACATTTTCAAGCACTAACTTTTTACCTGGTTAGCTCTTTGTATAGCTGAATAGTCATTTTTATTGTGTGATAATTACTTTGCATATGTGGCTGGTCTAAGTTGACCGCACAATTAACCAGTTAATTGTGTGATAATTACTTAGCACTTGTGGACAGTCTTAATTTATCGCACAATTAGCTAGTTAATTACATCATATATGTAACGTAGCAAGAACCATAGATATTTACAAGAAGTGAACTTACCAGTCTTGCATGAGTACATATTCATGATCACCAAATATGAATTTGGCTCTGTGGGTACTTGTGCTGATCCTGCTTGCTTACTCAGCCAAAGCAGCAGTGGCAGCACCTTGATATAAGGATGACAGTCATCCAATAGATAGGGAAGTCATCAGTAAGTCCAGAGATGACTGAAGAGGCCAAACCAAGATCCGCATGTTCAACTGCAGACATGACGTATTGTTCTAGAAGGAAGGAGTGGAACTGGTGAGGTCATGTCACAGCTTTTTCCCTTTGTCTCTCTCACCTATTTACCTCCACAGTGAGGCAAGTTTACTTGAAATGGTCAAGGTCTTGTTATACTTCAAAGCACCAGAAACAGCAATTTGAACAACAAAAGGCACATACAAAAAGTGGATCTTTTGCAGTTTGTGTGTAGGTGCAAAAAATGACTAAAACAGTTAACTATGTCAAAAAATGAATAGATCCGAAGATTTGTTTTTCTCCATCTCCCTAAGGGGTTACGCTTTTTGTATAAAATTATTTATTATTAATTATGTGCTTGGATCTACTAGCTCAGGGGTGGCCAATCTGCAGTTTGCATGCCACAAATGGCACTGTGACATGACAGATTCAGGACAGGACAAGCAGCATAATTGCAGATAGGGCAAGAAACAGAAAGCAGAGCAGCAGATAAGGTAGGGAGGGCACAGGGAAGGAAGCAGAAAGCAAAGCAACAGATCAGGCTGTAGAAATGGATGAGAGGGAATCTGGGGAGGGTGCAGGGAGGGTGCATGTCTACCAGAAAAGTTAGCCCCCTCTGGCCTAGCTGAACTCAATGGACTACCAGGCCAAAACCAAGCAATAAGCTTTGATTATAGTTTCCTACAGTATCCACCACAAGAAAAAAAAAAAGAAAAACCCTGCACTCTAATACACTGAAAGGAGAAATTTCTTGCCTAACTCAAAGTTTAGCGAGGAAGACCCATGGGAGAAAGAAGAATTTCCATTTCATTTCATCACTATATATCCCTTACTATCTTCACAGATTCTGCTTTTTTTTTTTTTTTGTGATCTTTGGTAAAGGCTAGGAGCAGTGTCAAAAAGGTAACTGCTGTTGCAGCCAAAAGTCAACATGTAATGCATTTATAACAGTCCTTGTAGCAAGTGTGCTATTAGCAATTGTTTGGATTTGTTTGAAGTCAATATAGAAAGTTGATTTTAGGCCTTGGTACTGCAGAAAGAGACAGCTGCCTTGGGGCATTGAAAGGAGTGAGGTATTGACTCTTCGTGGCTGTCTGGGAAGTCAGTGTTCAGCCTTTTTTTGCTTGTGCTTCAGAGTTTAGAAAGAGATACCTGATCATTAGAGGTAAAATTCTAGCTCAGCTGAAATATGTGTTTGTCACTGACTTCAATAGTACCAGAATTTTGACCCAAATCTTTTCCTCTCTATGGCTGAAGATCTGTCATTCTTTTCATCATGGCACCTTAGGGTTGACAGCTATTTCCCTAAAGTAGGGGTGGCCAACCTGCAGCATGAGTGCCACAAGCTGCATAGGCAGCCCCTGTGTGTGGTGCACAGAAGATCAGGGAGAGGAAAGACAGCATAGTGGCAGATGGGGTAGAAACCACAGGGGAGGAAGCAGGAAGCAGAGCAGCAGATCAGGTTAGGGAGCACAGGAATAGGAACAGAAAGCAAAGCAAGAGGTGCTCAGGGGAAGGGGATCAGAGTGACATATTAACAGGACTAATTTTGGTACACCTGAGGAAAATATTGTCCTTCACTGCTCTAGAGCATCCAGGGGTTCTTTCCACTCCATGAAAGTTAGATCCTTTATGGACAAAATACCACATTCTTTACTGTAGTGGGAGACCCAAATTATGGGTTAGTGGGTATGGAAATACCTTCTGCCCACAGGCCACCAATACACACAGAACCGTAAAACAGTAAAAACAAACAAACAAAAAGCAAATGAATTTGGTTACCTTTCACAAGAATTGGGCAGCAGAATTATCAGATGAAAAGTATATAACAACTTTCCAGTGACCAGAGCCTTACACTTAAAAAAATTGGACTAAAACTGGGACAACGCCTTTAACAAAGAAAGTAATTATCATTGGAAACTAACTTGAAATTAATTGGGTGCAGGGAAAAGTCTTTAACCAACCCAAAGACTTTGAGTTGGAGAAAAAGAGGTTTATCTTGCATATAGTCACGCTGTCAGACAGAGGTGAGTTGTTTCTGGATTTAGTTATTGCTGAACCCTAAGAAAATTACCAAGGTTCTTGAAGACTGAGAGCCACTCGGCAGGCTTTGATTGCTAGACAAAAGTTCACTGATTAAACTTTAATGCAGTATGTGAAAGCAAACGTTTTACAAATTTTGAGGGTGTTCAAAAGGATTACTAAAAAGACTGCTTGAAATTTAAAAGACGAGAATGTGGAGTCATGCTGGAATAGATAAGTTGATTATCTTAAAATCCACTTACTGGCAACTAATTTACTGATTTTAATTTAAAAAAAATATTTTTGTGGATTTTTCAGAGCTAAAATTTAATTACTCAGAAATGAGTGATTTTTTTTTCATTTTGCATCCACTGAAGCACACAGATGTATTTATCTGAAAGAGTTATTGTGCATTTAAGTTAGACGTGTGTGTAAACACATGAAAAACTGCCCTGACTTTTATGTTACCTGAACGTAGGTAAGGCTCAATTACTTTGATATGCATTTCTAATGTTAATGGAACAAGAAAATATCTACAACAGTTAAAACAGGAACAAAGTAATTTAGCTTTGCAGTTTTATTATCCATCTTGCACATTTCAGCTTCACTTACTTCATATCTCAGTTGCAAAGAGAGTGATAATTTCATAAAAGTAATAAGAAAACAATCCTGTCTATGGGAAAAAAATAGATTGCATATCTGTAATACTGTGTATATTATAGAAGCATTATGATGCTTGATGGTACTGACTAAATTGAAAAATAATGATCATTAAACTTTTCCTTTGTCTCCCTATCCTAACTTACCAGTGCTGTCTATTCTTCCTTTGGTTTGGCTAACATAATCAGGACAGAATTGCCTGTTTGTAGCCAATATAAACAAATATGTTTGCCTCCAAAATTTGTGCCATTTCACTAGGAGCTAGATTGTACCTTTGGATACATGCAAAAAACTGCACCGGATGTCTATGGGGGTTTCAGACAGTACACTCATCCAAGGGCAGAATTTAGTTTTGGGTTAAGCATCCAGCGTCTTCACTGTCCAAATTTTAATTATAGGCATAGCCAGTAGCTATATCCATGCTTAAGGTTGCCCAGCAGTTTAAGACCTTGATTTTATTTGAGACTGTAATTCTGGCAAAGTTCAGCAATTCATGTTGAAATGTTTCATGACACATGCTTGCCTCAGGCTGATTTTTTGTGGGTGCAAAGAAGTTTCAGCTCGATTAGTTGAACTGTTTCCAAGAACAAACTGAGAGAATATATGTTTTGCCTACATTTCACAAATAAAATAAAATAAAATAAAATAAAATAAAATAAAAATAATCTTACTTTTTGGTTGAGAAGCTGATCCGTTTTGGAGCCGAAATTAATGGGAAAGTGCCTACACAACTGTACAGCACGTGCATGCTGTTTTTCCCGTGAAAGACACCTATTCTTTTTATAAATGTCTTTTTAGAGGCTTGGTGGAGGCTTGGTGGAGTTTAGCAGTTAGAGTCCATAGATGCTTCTCAAGCAAATCCTGGGACATCATTCTCACCTTGTACTCGGCTTTGGCAAGGCCGCAGCTGAAGTACTGCGTCCAGTTTTGGGCCCCACAATTCAAAAAGGATGTGAAGAAGCTTGAGAGAGTCCAGAGAAGAGCCACGGCCTTGATCAGAGATCAGGAAAACAGACATTATGATGACAGGCTGAGAGCTATGGGGCTCTTTAGCCTGGAAAAGCGCAGGGTTGGGGTGATCTGATGGCCACCTATAAGTTTATCAGGGGTGACCACCAGTATCTGGGGGAACGTTTGTTCACCAGAGCGCCCCTAGGGATGACAAGGTCGAATGGTTATAAACTCCTGTAAGACCATTTCAGGCTGGACATAAGGAAGAATGTCTTTACTGTCCGAGCCCCCAAGGTCTGGAATAGCCTGCCATCGGAGGTGGTTCAAGTACCTACATTGAACACCTTCAAGAAAAAATTGGATGCTTATCTTGCTGGGATCCTATGACCCCAGCTGACTTCTTGCCCTTCGGGCGGGGGGCTGGACTCAATGATCTTCCAGGGTCCCTTCCAGCCCTAATGTCTATGAAGTCTATGAAGAGTCTTGGGAAAATTTATTGGCAATAAGCAAGTTTCAGTCCCTTTCAATATCCTATGTGCCAAATGTTATTGTTCATGAACCACCATCTGACAGCTGCTGTGGTGCAAGACTCAGAAACTGAGAGCAGTCTCTCCTGGACTGTTAATAATGACCCCACTGACATTAAGGCATCATAGAGAAATGGTGCCAGCTTAAGTCATTTTCAAGGGGCCTAGGTCAAGCTGTAGAAGTCTGATGAAGCCAGAAGACTGCACAACTTGTTTCTGAGTGACAGGAGACTGAACTTTTACAGGCCTTACAACTATCCTGGTCAGTAAAGTAAAGAAATCAATTAATATATCCACCTAAACCAAGAGTGAAACTAAATTAAATTAAACAAAGCAAAGGGCGTTAAAGGAGATAATTATACAACAAGGCCGTGAAACAGACAAGTCAAATACAGTATATTATAGCTTGTCTTATTTAGTCTAAGCATATTAGTAATAGCAAATGATGTAAGCAGCTGTATTAGATGTAATTTTGCTATAATAGATATATTTGTGTTAATTATCTTACATAATTTTTAAAAACAAAAGCAGCCCTGTCAGGGATGTTCATAAACCAAGGTATCCTGTTATCCAGAAACAGGATAACAGCTGGCAATATTCCAAGATCATGAAGGCAGGAGATAAGAAATTCTCTGTACTAAAAACTGTAATTTTTGCAAGTACATAAGCCCCACCTAATTGATACTTTTCAAGACCATAGAAAAACTGGTTCAGTCTGGTTCCCAAAGTCTCAGAGAAACAAAGAAACAGAAAAAAAAGGGGATGGGGGAGAATTTTTTGTTTTTTTAGTGTAAGCCATTTATAGATATAGGGTCTAAACTAGAGGAAAGTTGGAAATCTCTACAAATCCAAGAAGACTGGCAACCAGAAGCATAATTAAT